TCACCTCAGTTTTATTTATAGATAGCGAGCAAGGGTGTATAGCCCCCATCAGCAAATGCGGACGTCCCTCGCCTTCTATGCGAATCAGATGAGTAAGGTTATGGTGGGTTCTAAAATTTCTCCTAAATCGATTAGCGTTTCGGCGCGTTCACCTTCTAAACCCTGTAAGAATCTTTTGAATTCTGTGTTGCAACGTCGTGAAAAGATTGCACTCCAAGAATTCTATAAGATTATTGAAGCTTCTCGGAAGCGTAAGGAGGCTATTATTAAGAGAGCTATTTCTGCTGCATTAAAGGCCTCTCAAGCTAAACGTCAAACTGCTCAACAGAAAACCTATGAATTGAATAAAGCCAATGCTCAAGCTGAACTGGAGCGAATTAAAAAGGAAAAGTTATCACTTCAATTACCTGTTACATTGACTGTTCTTTCTCCACAACAACTACCTAATCGTAAAGATTTGGATATCCAAAGTTCTCTTTGTCAGCGAAAGCAGGAAGAGCAGGCGACAGTCAACTTCCAGAAACTACTTGAGGAGATGTCTCTGAAGCGAAAAGCTCAGATTGAGAACATTCTGAGCGAGTTCTCGAAGAAGATTAGCAATCAACCCAACCATGCGTCTACCGAAACCACGGTGGGGGGAAGAATGCTTGGTCAATCATCAAAGCCTGATCAACTGGAAGAGACGAAAGCAGCTAAGCAGGAAAAACTCAATAAAATGGAAGACTCCGGCAAAGCCTCTGCTGAATCTCCACAGAACGGGCTTAATGTAGAAGAGGGTATAGTCTCAAAAACATCAAAAAGCCCCCTACAACGTGGTATCAAACTGATGAGCGAGCCAAATCGTTTGAAAAAAACGGGCAGTAATACGAAGAGAGAACGCGGCAGTACTCCTCATCATGCGTCGCCTCCGAAACCTCTAGAGATCAATGCCAAAGACAACCACAGCGATCGCGAGCGGGCTAACTATTTTAATCTGCTAAAGCAGCAAGTGAGCGAGCGGCTGAGTAATGCTACACCAGGAGGTGCTGCTGTAAGCAATCCGGAACCCTCTCCATTGGGGTTTCCTGGAAACCCAAGTGGACTCTTTCGTCTTTAGAACAGTTTCGACAACAGTAAGGAAGGTAGCAACAGGATGTATGTTTTTGTTTGTCAATAAGTTACCGAAAAAAATTTTCTGATTATTTCTTAACTGCTGATACCGAAATTTGTGATACTTACAAAGGTTGTATTTATTACTCCTTATGCTAAGTTGTTTCATGTTTTCCGATAGAGTGGCGAGCCCTCTGCATGTTTTATGAACATTTGGGGCAACATTTTGAATTTCATAGAGTTTGTAATTGATTTTATATTCTAGAGCATTATATACAACCCCCTTTCCATTTTTTTAATTCTAGTATCAAATACGTTTCGCACTGTGATCCCGTTGTTTCTGGCGTCGAATGATAAATGTAACACAAAAAGCCTTTTTCGAATATATTGTGCAAGTGAAATCAATATTACTGCGTTGTTCTTAAGTTCATTGAGCTGGAAAATAAACTTACAGACCTCACTTTCTTACTCCCAGTATTTCTAAACTTTCTTACTAAATATGCATAGCTATTCGATAGTTTTTTCATCAAGAATATCTAGTTATTGTTACTCTTTTCCCAATTTGGACTTTGTTCTCATGCGCTACTTACACAGAATATTATTAAATGAAATTTAGTGATTTTATTTCACACTATGCGTTTATTGCCCCGTTATTTACCCTTGTGGGGATTCGTTTAGTTATAGCTTATACCAGCTCCCGGATAGCCCGCCGCGCTTGCGCAACCCTACAGCTCACTTCCAGAAGGAGAGCAGAGTGTTTGGTGTCAAATTTAATTGCAACTGCAGCATCTACCCCAGCAGAGGACTGTGATACGGGCATTATTAAAATTTACCTAAATCATAATGGCTTATCTCTCGTAACTGTGACCTTACACTCCTTAGCGGAAAATGGTTGGAAAGTTCAGGATATCTTTGAAACCTACTGCATGCTTTGGGATTCCTCAGATGATGCAAATGAATCACTGATTAACGTTTGGAATTGCCTTTGTGCTATAATCGATACTCACCTCACCTTCTACCTTGACAATCTTGCCTGGGAAGAGGAGGAGCTGGTAAAGACTGTGGCGATAGCTCGACTTTTACTAAGTAAATACAATATCAATAAGAAACGACCCCGTAGGCGGAGGGAATGCATAAGCGGTAGTGGAAATCAGTACATCGCTACGATGGACGGCCTTCGCCTTCAACTTGAAGAGCGGCAGAATGCTTTGAAAGGGTCTGCGTTCTGCTCCTTCATATTGCTTCTAAAATCATTTCAAAGGGTCATGAGCAGCACGCATCTGCTTATTCTAACAGGAGTTGCTCTGCTAAGTGGGGATTGTATATTTCGCTTGCTGCCTACAGCAAGTGAGCTTCTATGCTACTCGGACTTGGTTAATAGACAGTTCATCACGACACGAGGCACAAGTTTTTTTTCATTTGCAAAGGAGGCCCTGATGGGAAGTAGCGGCAAGCTGTTAGCCTGGGCTGTGTTGGGAAACGCGGTGCGTGATTTCGCACGGATGGGTAAGATTGTACTATCTAGTTCTGTGATGCACGAGTATTACTATGCGCTTCTACTAGACGCGATAGTGTCTTTATCAAGGCTGGATTACACCCCGCATCGCTACTGGGGCCTTCCAGCTGCGGTGTATGATTCCTTGATCACTCTCACAAGTTTTAACCTGGATGATATCGACATCGCTGTATCCAGATACCTGAGATTCCTAGACGTCTTTACGATATGCGTTTTGCACCCTGTCGAGTGCGCAACTCTATGGATAAGTCAGCAATGGGTTCGCTATGTTCAGCTCACGTGGAGCAGGATGACTTATATGAGGGATTTCATGAAAGAATTTTACGATTGTACTATTGCGTGTGGGAAGTCATCTGAGGAATTGCGGGCTGGATCCACTCCAATGGATCAGCGGCGACGTTTCTTCTCTACCAGTCACTACGGCTTGACATTACTTTTGTCTGTTTCGATTGAGAAGGAAAGTATGCAAATAATTGCATTTCAGACGTGTCTGTCCTCCTGGCCATCAGCATGCGCAAAGTTGTCAGTGGAGGTTTGCGAACGGATGGTGCAGCTGTGGGAGCATCAGTCTGATCATTGCCAAGAGGGCAACTACGGAGCAAAGGAGTCCATGGTTCGTTATTTCCTTGCAAAAAGGGACCTTCTCAGGTCCTTGGAATCGTCCAACGAGTGTGAAATCCCTGGACCGTTTATCTGCCACCAAGTCCTTGACAAAGGGTTTAGTGGGTTGCGCCTTGGGGGTTGGGAGGACGTCGTGGCGCACCACGTGCCCCCATGCAATCCCAGCATACCAGCGTATCTTTTTCGTTGGGGGTGGGAGACCGTCATGGCGAGTGTCTTTTCGCTCGCGCAAAGTGTTCCCCTCATCACGACGATCGGGTGCTCCGCTGTACTCAACACGGGCTTACTCCAGTGCGACCCGGCACGGGCAGAGCGGCTCGCCGTGGAGCTCGATCACCTCGCCGGGCTTTGGGACCCGTTTCAACAGGACTACGTCCCCCGCCGCTCCAGGGCCGGCCGCCCCACGTCGCATTACCTGTTCGACGTCTACCGACAATCCAGCCGGTACTGCGGCTACGCAAGCTACCCTGTGAGCATCGGGCTTCTCAGTAAGCTGGCCCGGATCACCCCTACAATTGACGCACGACGCCACGAGAACTGCGAGCCACTTCCAAGCGGACCATGGTCGATTGAGTTCAAAAAGGTTTGGTTTCGATACCCCACCAAGCAGCAGTTCGTCCTAAAGGGAGTTTCTTTTAAAATCAAGGCTGGTGAGTTCTGTGGGGTCATCGGGTTCAGCGGAGCGGGGAAGTCCACAATTGCGCTTCTCATTAGTCGTATCTATGCTCCTCATGCGGGTGTGATTTTGCTAAATGGGATTTCGATTGATCGGTACGCCGTCCGTGACCTCCGACGGAACCTAGCAAATTGCTGGCATGGCGATCAGAGCATGCGTTTCTTGGATTCGTTGAGTATTCGAGATAACCTTGCTCTCGGGAATCTACTCGATGTGGATCACAACACTATTACACAGGCTCTTTCTTTATCGAAATCCACTGATTTTGTTGAGAGTCGTGGTCATGGATACTTAAACACACTCGACAGCAGAGCCTTCAGCGGTGGCGAGGTTGAATGCCTTGCCATTGCACGCGCTATGATGAAGAGAAGCAGCTCTGTTGGTGCTTACATTTTTGATGAATCCACCAGTGGTTTAGATTTCACGACAGAGAAGGAAATCTTAAATACAATTAGGCAATATTCGACACGGGGAAAAAAGCAACCTGCTACCATTATTATGATCACACATCGCCTCGCCTACATTCAACAGGCAGACAATATTATTGTCATCAACCAAGGCGAAGTGGTCGAGCATGGTTCGTGGAAAGAACTAGTCCATGATCCCGGCAATGTTTATTTTCACAGGCTTGTCAGCTCGCGAACACCTTTCCCCCCTCCTTCCTCCTGAGGATTAAGCGTGCTTAGGTCCTATTCTCTAAGTTTCTTTGCATTTTATTTCCGTTTTCTCAACGCTCAGAGTGCTTTGGTCGCTTTCTTTATTTCACTATTGAGTAATATACAGGAACGCGTAGATTCGAAAGATCTGAAGATTCTTTCGATTTCTATAATATTTCTAGCAAGGGGGCACTAAACACGAACCCATATGAATAAGTAAAATGCCTTACAATTGTTCTCGTATTTTTATAACATGCCCCCAAATTTTGTTGCAAGAACTTTACAAATACACAAAGTAGGGATAAGTGAAACGGACAAAAAATCTTTTTTCCACTTCAAAATTATCGTTCTTTTATCTGTTATTATTGGTCATTATTAGCTTTAGAAAGCCAAAGATGAAAGATGTGTTAAAGACTGGCCCGAAAAAGGATGTGGATGTCTTTATTCCATCCTCAGACCTCACATTACAGCAAATTCGTGACAAGATACCGAGGGAGTACTTCCAACGAGATACCGTAAGAAGTATGTCGTATCTTACTTTTGATCTAATCCAGGTCGCCATTACATGTTATGTAATGTCCAATATAATGCTGCCATGTGTGTCTGTGCTAACATCATTCATCAATTCGTCCCTTCCCAGCCCCGCTTCGTTGGCGATTTCGACACTACTGAAATTTTTCGTTTGGAATGTTTTTTGGTTTGTGCAAGGGCTAAATGGAACGGCATTGTGGGTTCTCGCGCATGAATGCGGGCACCGGGGCTTTAGTCCTCATTCTGGATTAAACAACACAGTTGGGCTCATTATACACTCTGCACTCCTGGTTCCATATCACAGCTGGCGCATCTCACATGCTCTTCACCACAAACACACAAATCATCTAACAAAAGACACCGTATTTGTTCCACACAAAATGGATCAAATAACCGAGCTGACAGAAGAGTGCCCGCTTGTCATGTTTTGTAAAATGGTTAACATGTTTTTGTTTGGATGGCCCACATACTTGCTCTTTAACGTTAGCGGTCAGGACTACGGCCGGCGCGCCAACCATTTTGAGCCCTCCTCGCCAATCTTTCGTCCAGGAGATGGTCGAGATATTGTGATCTCCGATCTAGGGGTTTTGAGTGCTCTTTCTGCAATTGTCGTGAGCTGCGTTAAGTTCGGCGCGTTCAACGTCCTTTGCTGGTATGGGATTCCGTACCTGTGGGTTAACTTTTGGCTTGTTTACATCACTTACATGCAACACACTGACATTCGCATTCCACACTATTCTTATGAAGAATGGACCTTTGTACGGGGTGCCATTGCTGCGGTTGATCGTGATTACGGATCGGTTCTGAACACGTGGCTCCATCACATTAATGACTCTCACGTTGTTCATCACCTCTTCAGTGATGTGCCTTTTTACAACGCAATCGAAATAAGCCGAAAATACATAAAGTCTATTCTTGGTCACACATATGTTGAGGACAAGCAACCACTTCTACAAGCTCTTTGCAAGACATGGGGGACATGTCGATATGTGGTACCATCCGAAAATATATGCTGCTTTTACGGATTCAACAATAAATCCAAATCTTAAATTAATCCCCTTCCTTCATCCCGAAAGTAATTAAAAAAGGTTATTAACTAAAACGATAATTGTTTCAGGCGGGCTAATCGACTATGAATTTCACGGTATGATAATTCATGGTGGAACTATCGCGCAGGAGTACATTTCCTGGTGGTAGATTGACCCCTTTTTTTACCTTTTAGTGACTTATAGTGAGTGAACTGAGTAATGAAATGATAGCTAAAACGCACCGGTCATGAACAAGGATCTTAATCCGCCAAAATAAATTGAAAAAGTAATGTTACATAACTTTCTAGTCCACTAATTTTTTTTCTATCCGATTTCTTAGTTATTTATGGACTGAATACATCTATGAGATCACCATAACATCGTGATGCATACTGTCTAAATGTGTTGTTGTCAATATGGAGTCTAAATGTGTATATATATATATATATATATTTGTATTTATATATCTATATAGTATAAAAAGACCCTGAACGAGGAGAGTCACCGGCGTATGAGTGACTTTAATTGTTAAACTTTCTTATTATATGCTATATCTGGTTGGTGCAGATATGGCGGCACTGCTGTCAGAGAGTTGGGATAATATTTCGGTGAACTGCACCTTCCACGACCTTATACTGGATTACGAGTTTCATAATGTCTTTTCGAGAGAGCTGGGGTGTTTTAACGATTGGGCTATTTCTGACCCCGTTGGTTGGCGGGCAGGGTGAGGGAGCCGGTCCTCCTTCCCCTCCCCTCCCAATCGCGCTCAGAAGAAAGAGGGTGAAACAAGCGAAGTCATTAACGATGATGGGGGCTTGACGTCTTCGACGTGCTTCCAAAGGTTAAAATCGACTAGACAATTGTACTTTGCTTACCCAACAAGATGAGGGGAACGAATATGTACATTTTGATGCTAGCAAATGACGCAGAACATCGTGCATCATGGGATGTTCGACATAATCAGCAGCGTCCCTAGTTTTACTAAAACAGAAGTAGAAAGCATAGTTAAATCTGATATATATATTTATATGTATATATATCTACATCTAAAAAATATATATATTAATTCTAACTACCCGTCAACCGATTGCGCTACAGCAGAGACACTCCACTCGATAAGGAAACGGTGGGTCATGGTCAGCTGGAAATTACTTTTCCCGCTTCTCTCGCCATTTTTTTCTTCAAATTTGTCAAAGGTGGCCGATTCCTTCGCTCTCTCCCATGCGTCCTCCGCCTCAACACACTCCCGTGGAATTACAAATACGTTAGCATCAGGCGTGTGTGGTACAAAGTTGTAAAAATCAACCGTCACGGGGTCATACTCCGAAACCCACGGTAGGATCTCTTTGCTGAATCCCTGTGACGCAGCGGGGAACGCCAACTCGTCAAACATCGGCTGACCAAAGTATCGCCAATTTGGTGTGGAGAAGGGGGCCCCTGCTATTTCTTTCAATTCTGAACCCGGTCGTAGTCGTGTTTCAATGCGCCAGGGAGTGGTGAAGTTGTTAAACTTACCAAAGGAAGGCAAACACGTATCCAAGGTGTAATAGTCAATCTGAAGTAACCGACCATCCTCGCGATCAAAACCGGTGTGGCGCGTCACGGGTACGCCGCGAACGAGGTACGACTCGACGTGTGTCGAAAACCCGGACGGCACACATTGGGGCTGGATGGCACCTTGAGTGGAGAAGACTCTGCAGGTTAACCCGTTGGACTCACTTGTAGTGCTGTTGACGTAGGTGCGCTCAAAAACGTAAGCCCGCTTTTTGTTGAGATCCGCCATAAAACTGTGCTGCAAACCTAGGTAGAACTGATCGATGCGCACCAATCCCGCGTCGGCGTCCACATAAATGGCGCCGCTCTGCGCAATTGGTGGCGCATCACGCATAGGGACGGTAGTCCCTGTCGTGACATGAAACTTTTTAGGAAATTCCACTAGACATGGTTTTCCGACATCTCGTTGCTCAGTGCTGGCGGGTATAATTATTAATACCAATAATAGGGCTAGTATAACGGGGGATGGCACCAACATTGATACTTTTGGATTTTCTTGACGAATTCAGTAAGTTGCTGGTGGTGTTCGCTAGTAAACTTAAAGAGCAAGCAATGCTTAAAGGAAAGTAAATAAGAAAGAGAAACAGGGAAAGCTTCTGAAAACAAAGCAAAACAGAGAGGTGATAAAGAGGAAAGCAAAAATGTGCGCGGAGAACGAATAAGGGAAAAAATTATATTAATTATCAAGAAACAAAGCCAGGGACGCTCAACGTGGTTTGAATTGTCTTAACTTGCAATATTGACTTATTCAAGTGCGCTTTTCTAGAGACAGCTTGAGATAACAATAGCTTCCTCTACTTTTGCTTCTTAATATGCAAGTGCACTTAATGTGCCTACATCTTCCGAATTAAGCACCCCTTTTGTTCGTTTTTTTCTGTGCCGGTTCTCTTATTTTTTTTCCATCATGCTACTTTCAGTTTCATTACACACGCGTTGAAATAATTTAAGAGGAAAAATGTGGATTGATAAAGCAAAAAAAAATAATAATAATAAATCGAGAACCAAACTAAGAAATATATATATATATATATATATATATAACAAACAACAAATCAGTAAGAAAAACGCTTGAAAAGAAACACAATGTAGACATATTTACTTCTTTATGG